ATAAACACAGTAGGAACCAAAAAACCATTTGTGATAGTTTCCCAAATCTCACTATCAATAGGTTCCATGAAAATTTGCATTCTCACTTTCTAAAAAGCATAGTTTTCTCTAATAAACAATGGAGGTCTATTGATAGAGACACTCTCAGCAAATGTTTGATGTTGCCCCGTCATTTTAAATTACTATCAAAACAAGCTTTGATACCAATTGTACGAGCGGTGCAGCAGAATGGTTAACGCGTTCAACAAACCAAGAGGGGGTTGAATTGGTTTCTTATCGCAAATCGTTCTTTTAATAATTTTCTCACGTAAATTAGAGTTGTCAAAACGGGTAACCCGACTCGACCCGGCTCAACCCACCACGGGTTGGTAACTTACTGAGTCAACCCAACTCGACTCACTTATTAGCAAGCTGAAAATGTTCAAACCCGGTCCGACCCACCACGGGGTTGGTGGGTTAAATGGGTTGGCTCACCGACTCACTTAATTATAAGTTTTTTTAAAATAAAAGTTATAATTTTTTTAATTCAAATCTAAATAAATTTCAATCTAAAATTATGTTAAACTCCAAAGACAATTCAAAATAAAAAAAAATCATACAATCCAAGCGTAATCCAAAAATAAACTCAAAAGGCGAACAAATAAGTTTTTAATATTGATAATTTCTTTATCACTTGTCCATTTATAATATTAGAGTCTTGAATAGATAAATCTATAATATTTTTCTCTCTTAAAACATCTTTTCTTTATCCTCATCTACAATATAATAAAAAAAATGCTAACTAATAATATTGAAACACAAAATAATAATTAATTAAATTTAATTAGGTGGGTTGATGAGCCAACCCGGCTCACCATGGGTTCAACCCGGATGAGCCGGGTTCTAAGTGAGCTGGGTTGAAAACTAACTCGCATAAAAAATTACAATTTTTTCAAACCCAACCCGGCTCAAACCCGTGGTAAGCCGGGTTGGCTCACGCGTTACAACCCATTTTGACAACACTAACGTAAATATAAATTCCTTAAAAACATTTAAACAAATTAAAAGATTAAGGAAGAAAGAAAATCACACACGTAATTTTTTTCCTGGTTCGGATCATAGAGATCCTACATCCAGTTGTTAATCTCAATCGAGAATTAACACTTCACTAGCACAAACCAACAAACTGTTACAATCACAAAGAAAATAAATAAGTTGAAGGTTAGAACACCTCTCTTGTTGCCTCAAGAGATGAAACTCACTTCCCCTGTAACCCACAAAGGATGAACACCTCCTCCGAATGCTTCACGAAGGATGACCACCTCCTTTGAATCTTCACAAAGGATGAACACCTCCTTTGAATCTTCATAAAGGATAACATACCTTCAACTCAACAACAGCAATATCACTCAATCACACTCTCAGTGAAAGTTCTCGCTCTATGCCAACACGCCAAGTTCTGAAAGCCACCGCATAAGGGTTATACAAATCCTAGAACACTTATCACCGCACACTGTAGATGAGAATTTCGAAATACATTTATTTCGCATGTTGTATTTCGTATTTTAGAATGAGAGTCTCAATCTAATTTATAAAGATCTCACTCAAGGATACCTCCAAAAATTCATTATCAATTAATTAACGCGTGATAATCAATTATCCAATTATGGTAATTGATTATTCATTTAATGAATGCACAACGGTAAAAAACTTGCTTCAAAATTCACATAATTATTCGAGATAATCGATTATGGCAAGTCATAATTGATTATTGATAATCGATTATTATAATTTGATAATCGATTATCTTGAGTATAAAATGAGGTTTTCTTATTCAAAACTCATTTTAAGGCAACCTAAAACAAACAATACATAGAATCAAAGATAAACCACAACCTATACATAAATCTACTAAATTACAAAAACTTTAACACAAGATAAGTCTTCATGAAGATTTTCTTGCAACAAGAGCACTTAAGACTTGACTTTGAGACATCATCAAAACTTTTTCTCTTCAGCTTTATGCCAACGCACTCACAACTACAACCCTGTTATAGACAAATGTTTAACATATAAAATGCTCGTTCTCATCTTCAGAAGCAGGATGATGTTCAAAGCAACACTAAGATATAGGAACTTGCAATTTTATTATCATTAAATGTAATTAATACATTTCTTACAAGATCTGTAACAATAATTATGTAGTTTAAAGGTAATGAATAGCTTATCTAACTTGTAACTGTTAAATACGTAATACATAATTGAAGAAAATCACAAACGACATTGCAACACTCCTAAATCTACAATAACATCTACATCAGCCCTAATTGTTGTAACACTTCTTCTCTACGAACATTGTAATTATCCAGAATCCAATCACAATCAAAATTTCCTTAAAGTGTTGGAGTTCCTCTTGAAAACAATCAAATGCAGAAAAAATTAAGAAAATGTCCAATCTTTTATCAAAATTTCAAAGTATAACAAGTCTGATTACTTAGGCTTGTGAAATCGGGCGTTGTTTTCCCTTCATATTTAACAACACCATCCCACAACTCCATAGATTTCACAACAATAACTCCACAATCATACCTGCATCAAACAAAGTCCAAAATACAATTAATTTCATACTACTTCAATGAAAGAAACATATATTTTAATGAAAAAAAATCAACACTAAAAAGTTGCATGTTGGGTTGGATTAGAGTGTGCACGTGTTGTACTTGGGAGATGGTTTATTCTCTTCATAACGATTCACCTTGTTGTGAAATGAAAATGAAACATTGTAAAAAAAACTAAGTACATGTAAACAAATCGAAACTTTACACCTAATAACAATCCCTAAATCATAAAAAAAATGAAAACATTGAAATTTTTTTTCCAAAGAATCGAACAAAAACTAGAAAGCAAAATTGAAACCTCAACAACAACAATGGTCCTTGAAACCAACGCAAGCTAAAACGAACGGCGACAACTGCAAAAGCCTATGTCAATGATGGTTCAATGCGTCAATGGTGTTTCAAAACCAACTCAAGGCGAAACGAATGGCGACAATTGCAAATGGTTGCGAACTCCGAAACAAACAGAGAGAACCTAAAAAACCCACGTCAATGATGATTTGATCGTTCAATGGCGCTTCAAAACCAACGAAAAGCGAAACAAACGGTGGAAAATCGGTGGTTCCAAACTCCGATGTTTGTAGCAATGGTGGTTGAACTCACACAACCCTATTGCAACTTTCAAATGAAATTTCGAAAAAAAAAAGGAAACCACAAACATGAAATTCCTAATTTTGAAGTTTCAACGCCATTTTCTGTTTATTTTAAATATGTGACCAATCATGACACATGACAGAGTCAAATAGTTGTTAAAAAGAAGAGTTAAACACTAGTACACTAAGAGGATATGACACCGGTTACTTTTGCTTATAGGCAACGGTTCTACAACCGAAGTATATACCAGCGAGGTAAAAAGGGGTAAGTTTTATGCCTCGGTTGTGAACTGGGTTAAAAAAGATAGGATTTATGCCTCGGTTTTTTAGTAACCGAGGCAGTAACGTGTTAGTTTTTTAATTTTTTTCACTAGCCTCTGATCCTCTGGAGCTCTCAAGCATAAACCCAAAAATTAAGCAGAAACCCAAAAATTAACAGTGAACAAGCAGATTCAGAAACCCAAAAATTGAAATAAAAATTGAATCAGAAAATAAGGAACAAGCATATTGATTCTTCTTGTCATCTTCATCACAAATGAATGTTATTGAATCAGCAATACATGAACCCCGTTCAAATCCCTAACCCCCAATCCAGTCAAAACCCCGTTCAAATCCCTAACCCCCAAATCTAGTCAAAACCCCATTGAAATCCCTAACCCCCAAATCGGATGACCAACAACCGCAGAGACGCTTTGTCGTGACCACCACTGGCACCAGAAGGGGGCTGGACCGGAAGGGGGCTGGACCGGGTGCTAGGCCAGCGGCTCCACCACTGGCACGAGCCGCACTAAGCGGTGGAGTGAGATCTGAGATCGCGTCCGCTGGTGGTGTGAGATCTGAGATCGCGTCACGGGTTGGGGTTGCGGGGTGGGATGCAGCCATGGCTTTGGGCAGCGAAAACGGAGCGGCTGCGTTGAAGGAGAGGTGGCGACGGCGGAGCAACGGAGTGGTGGCGACGAAGATGCGGAGCGGCGGAGTGGTGGCTTTGAGATTTGAGCGAGAGAGAAGAAGAGAAACTGTGAGAAGGAGATCTAAGCGGCGGAGCGACGGAGCGGCGGAGTAGCGGAGTGGTGGCTTTGAGATTTGAGCGAGAGAGAAGAGAGAAAAAGAGGAACTGAGAAGGAGATCTGAGTGAGAGAGAAGAAGAGGAACTGAGAAGGAGATTTGAGTGAGAGAGAAGAAGAGGAACTGAAAACCGGTGCAGTAACAGCGTCTTTAGACACCGATTCTGCGTCGAGCCGAGATTTTAAAATATCATTATCTATCTATATATATATATTTTGAAGCATTTACATAGAAAACAAATATGTATTTAAAATATAGAAATATTGTTTGAGTTGGATATCATCGCTAACATTATTTGAAAAATGAGTAAATTATGAGACAAGAGTTTATAAATAGAATTATATATATAGGAACATTGTACTATCAGATATTCATCCAACAAGTCTCTCAAACTAAATCTAAAAAAATTTAATTACAAAAAGTATGAACACTTAAGACCTAATGAAACCCAAACAGATAAATAATAAAAAAACAATTACAATATTCAATAAAGATCCAAAAAATAAATATACAAAAATAGAAAAGTTTTATTTTAACTCCAAACCTAGCATAATACTTAAAAAAGAAAAGTAATGATAGGATGACACATTTACATTCATTTAACACATATTATAAAATTCATTTAACACATATTATAAAAGTAAAATAATCATAAAAAAAGTGAGTTTTTGTAGTTTTTTAAAAAAGAAGAGTAAAAAATTTACAAAGATAGTATGAAATAAACGTAAAAAATATGTGTGTCAAAATATCATTTCTCAAAACAGACACTTGAAAGTTCATCCAAAAGCTGCTGATGCAGGAGGCAAAGGATGAAGAAGAAAAATATCAAGAAGTTGATCAATGGAGGTATAGTTGTAATCAGGATATAACTCTGAAGCTTCGAGATCATCTTCTCCAATCTCAAACTTCACCAGGTCCCCTCTAATAAATACACTGTGAAGGATAGAAACTGGAATATTCTGTGGAGAAGGTAATGCTGCATGCACATCATGCAAAAACTTTACCATTAACAAATACTTATAGTAATCACCAAAACTAACATGCAACTTAATAAACTTTCTTACTTTGTGATTGTTTCACTAGTTCTTCTTCCAAAATAAAAGTGTTGCTAAAACTGTGACCAGATTTTTTCTCCCATAATGATATGAGCTCATTCTGTGATACGATATTCTTTGGAGGTCGATAAATTACCACTCTATTGCGTGTTCTTGGATCATTTGCAGCTTTAACAGTGTACATGGCAATGTCTTCTTCGTAATTTAGTACAGCTGATTAATCAGAACAAATTTTAATCTCAGTATAAAAAAAATTATACTATGAAAATAAAATCACATCATATATGTAGAGAGAATAGTATCATGTCATGTTATCACTTTAATATTTGCTGCAAAATAAAGTGTTGCGCATGCATATCTTATTTTTATTCTTTAATTTTACTATCCATTTTTTTTTCATTTTATCATCAAAATTTCAAATTTTTACACATTTTATCATCATGTTTTTTACTTTTAAACATTTTACTATTATGGATTGATAAAAAAGAATCATTTTCAGAAACAAGAATTACAAGAAAATATATATATATATTTAGTGTTGCTTAATATTCGTTTCTAATAAGTAAAAATCAACTATAATTAATCACTAGCATCATATTTTCATTGCATATGCAACAAACTCAAACTATAAACGACAAAGTAAGTATCAATTGAAAATAGACGTGTACAAGTGATAAGTATCCAATTTAAGTGAATTTTATGATAATTTTGGCATTTATTTTGTTTGGATTATGTTTATTTCACTCTTCTTTAGTTTGCTTTGTAGTTTTTATATCAATAGAGAGTTAAAGTAGAAAAATAAAGAAAATGGTTGAAATTCAAACAATTCAGGATAAAACTGACACTGGTGCAACTTAGCTGCAGATTTGGGGCTTGAGCCACATAAACAAACCCATTGTAAAGAAAAACCTCAAGCATTAAACCTAAGGCCAAACCATGAACACTTCTTCTCATAGAAGTTATCTTAGGGGTTGAAACACTAGAGCACGAGGCTTAGGCCACAAGAGCAACCCTAGGAGGAGAAAACCTCAAGCATCCACCTTTGGAAAGACCTGGAATGTAACTTTACAACTTGAGCAAAAAAAGTGCAGCTTAAGCCCTATGAAAGGAAATGTGGAAAGATTTGGAATAAAACCTCTACAGCTCAAGCGCCATAAGTGGAGCTGAGCACCACCCTGAATAATTTATGAATAAAAACCTCATGCCTTCATATTAGACATTGAGTGAGGGATCAAATATGTAGTGATAGAGTAAGAATGAGTTTGTGAGGCTTGAGAGAGATACTTTGATTATAAATCTTATGTCTAGATGTTGTTGAGATTACATTGCAATATTTTATGAGCAGCTGGACTCTCTCGTGTCGAGGTTGGTTATAATCAATTCTAACTCTCTGTATTTTACTTCTTAGTTAGTTTTTTATGCTTTCATTTAATTTGTTTGTGAATTAGTTTGTGCTTGTTGTTGAATGACTAACCACTAATCTTATTTTACTACAATGGGATAGAGTGAGAACTCATTATAAGAAAAACAAATATTATCAACGATCAAAATTCGTCAGAAACGTAAAAAAATAATCGATAATGACTTTTTTTACAAATTTCCAACGAGACAAAATGAATTGGTAATAGTGCAGTCGGTAACATTTATCGACGAAATTTTATACTCGTCCATAATTATCAAAGAAAAATTTCGTCAATAATTACAAGAAAAATTCATTGGCAATTATGGAAAAAAAATCTGTATTACCGACGAATTTATCGAATCAAAAATATGTTGGTAATTAAAATTTCAAAAATTTGTCAGTAAAACCTTTGGATAATTCAAATTTACCGATAAATTCATTTTCCTCTATAATTTCAAGAGTTTTTGTAGTGGTTGATTTTAAGTTGTGGTTCATCTATTTCTTATCCTACTATTAGATGTTAAGAATATATATAAGGCTCTAGTTGGTTATAGAGTCCTGATCTTAATACAATTTATTCATTCAATTAGTCACTAAAGGATCATATTGAAGTTTGATGATCTTAAATTCTAGGTGTCAGGAATGAATCTAGAATTACATTTAAAGAGCACTCCCTAGACAATAAATGATTTGCATAAGTACATAGGCAATCTATATAATATATTCTACTATCAATCTATATAATATATTCCACTCATGGCCTGTATACTTCACTCAATCTATATAATATATTCTACTATCAATATTTTTCAAATGAAAAAAAAAAACTGCCAATATGCTTACTAAATTCATGTGGATATGACAATCCGGTTTCGATTGTTTCACAAATGACTTGGTACATTTGTCAATAGGTCACATAACTAGATAATTTTTTTAAAACTTGACATTGTATGATATTCGAGATTTTTGGGCTTAAGTCTAATGAACATAAAAATCACAATCTAAGTTTACCCTATTAAAAAAGGCCACCTTCACGTAATTTTCATGCTACACATTTTATGATGAGTTCAAGTTATTTGGCTTTGTGAGCATAAATCATCATTGTCAGGTTTAATTGCGATTAATTTAATGAAAAACTGTTTTGATTCTATATGTAGATTTAATCAATTGACAAAGATCTTTTTAATATACTTAAGACATATAATGACAATTTTGAACTCATAAAGTTTAACACATTTATAATATTTTATAATATATATATATATATATATATATATATATATATATATATATATATATATATATATTGTCACCCATGGGAAATTGTTTGCCATTTCAGTCATTCATATATGTATACAATAAATAATTACGTGTTAAGACTATTATATTATTAACCAAAATATTAAGTGATCTAATTAAGTATTTCTATGACTAATAGCATATATGTATGAAGTATTAACTCTGCAAATATTATATCTAATATTCTAATTCAATGAGTAGCCAAATTAAAAATATGAATGTTTTAGAAAAAGTAACCTACAATACATAAAGGGGCCGGTTGTGGTCGCATGTACATAATATTTTTGTTTTTTTCTCTATATTTCCATCAAAAGAAAAAAAAAAGAACGTAAGATGTTGTAAAGTTGGAAGATCAAATACTTTTAGTGCATATTGTTTTCAATGGTCAATTCAGATACATTTATGCTTATTTCCTGTTCTATGGGTATTGAAGATTACTCAAATAATTAAAGAATTTAATTACTTATTAATTATTGTTCTGGTTTGGAAATATAATCTAACAAAATATATATTCTAGAAGAAAATAATATCTGCATGCATATGTGTATTAATTGTAATAATTTACGTAGATAATTTGTGAGATTTGATACCTTTGGCTTCACCATTCCCATAGACAACAATGTTCTTCACATCTTCATATGGACGAAGTAAATAATTGACAAAGTATGCAGCACAACAATTTGCAGAAACAGAAGTGTAAGGAATTCCTGCAGCTTCAATTTCTCTTCTGATTTTCATTTTCTTTTCAAGCAAAGCTTGAAACGGAGGAAGAGGCTTTATTCTATCTTCTTCTGCTCCAAATCCTGATGGAACGAATCTCTGCCATGCAAATTCACAAACACTATCTTATTAAATATTACTGAAGAACTTTTCTACATATAATCTAAGTAAATTCATTAAAGTATTAATACAATATTGAATCATACAACATTTCTCAAACTATTTAGATTAACAGCTTTACACAGTCGGAAAACCTAATATTTTCTATTAAATTTAACTTTGATTTTAGATCAACTTTTATATAAGCATGGATATATGAGAAGGTATACTAAGATAATATCTTAATTTTTTAGATAAATAATTTATTAAAATAAGAAGACATAATAATAAGGAATATAAACAGTTTTTATGGGAAGGGTCCTACATGCAAGGGAAGTGAGAACGAGTGGACAATACTTCACAACCACATCGTTAAGTTCATCCATTCTCAGTCACACAAACCCTATCATTTCTCTTGCTTTATTTTTTAATTTTTTTATTTTTATATAAAGTAACCCGTGTTGTGATTTAGATTTTGAAAGATTTATGAATAGATTATTTAAGGGTTATCCATAACTCAATTCGTTTCTATCTAACTCAATGTGGTTCTCTTGTGGACAAATTGATGGGAAAAACAATAATATAACTAAAATTTTGAAGAATGCAACGAATATAATTTATAATTTATAATTTCTCTTAACTTATAAGAATATATGAAAAGTAATTATCAAATAATAACAACCAAAATTAAAAAAAAAAGGATATCAAAATTTTTAACAAGAAAAATTCTCAAAATTCTATCTAACTTTGACCTAAAATGTACGATTTATAACTAGGTTATGAATATGGTAAATAAAAATTAATTAAAATATTATAAATAAGTTGATATTGTAATAAGCATTATTTATTATTTATTACACCTAATTTGTGTTGAGAAGTCTTAAAGAGTATGTTTTGCATGAAAAAAGTGTACCTTTATATTTCCAGCAACTTTGATGGCGTCTATGATTTTGAGTTGGTCCATGACTTGAGGGTAAGCCAACGCACTTATCACAATATCTGCTTTTTTAATTGCTTCCAGAATCTCTTCATACTCCAGTTCTCCCTGTGCTTGCAATTTCGACCCATTTCAGAGAATAATTAACTATTTTTCACTCTCACCACATTATTTAAACGTGTTTTTTTTATTATTTTATGATTTGAGTTCAGAGATAACTTTTCTTCTTTAACTCTCAAAACAACATTATACACTAAACATGTGATGTCTTTTTAGGTATATGAACCTAATTTTTTATAAGAGTACGTAACATCACCTTCAATAGATTTATCACAAATTTTTATTAGTAAAAATGTGTTCAAACTTTTTATTTGCAATTGGGACCCTTTTAATAAAAGTGACCACTTCAAATAATAATCTTTTTTTCAAAGGAAAAAGATGCACTAACAACACACTTTCACCAAATTATTTAAATGCATTTCTTTTTTTTTTAATGATTTGAGTTGAGATACATTTTTGAAACATAACTTATTATGAGTTGTTAAATATTTAAAGAGAGAATGTAAATAACCTGAAGAAGAGTGACTCCAATGGAGGTGAAGTCCTTGCAAAGCTGTGTCTTGGAAGGAGGAGTTTGTGAGGTAAGAGGACGAGTGTAGACAAAAGTTGGATGACCTAAAGAGAGACTTGCCTTCACCAAATGCTTCCCTACGTAGCCAGTTCCTCCAAACACAATAATCCTATTCTTTCTCTCCATTTTTTAATTCTCTCTTTCTCATCTTGCTTATCAAATGCTTAACCTAACCCTTTAAATAATCATTTTCTACCTTTTCTATCACATGTATCACATGCTATATTCATATCTACCTATCAATAATTGAACATTAATAAATCAAAACAAGGGTCCCACATATGCGTAGTCAGAGAAAGAAGAAGCCTAACCAAGGATAAGAGTTAAATGGCTGTTTCACGTGTTTTTAATTTTGTCCCAATGTTTTTATGAATGTTGTAAATTTGATCTTATCATGAAAAATAAGCTGTTTATGTCATGTTTCACTTTTGTAAGACATACTTTCTATAGAAAAAGACCTTCACATCTAAATTATTGTACGTGGTTACTAGTAAAACAAACCCATCCATATCATTTTTATGGAAAAAATATACCAAGACAACAACCAAAAATATCAAAATATATAATAAAAACACTAATATTTTTAATATTGTACGGTTATATATTATCATTCATTAAACAAAAAATGTATATTAACAAATCTCTTAACCAATATTTTTAATATTGTACGGAGAAATTGGTCTTTTAAAATAATGGGACCAGATTAAGAAAAATTTTAAAACAAACAGAAAGAATCATGATAATATTGAGATAAAAATAAGCCTATTTAATCATTAATTATATATACCTACATTTAAAACGAGTATTAGAAAATGCGTGCACATGTCTACACAGCTCACATGTGCAACTTTCATGGCAGGGGATTAATAAATTCCATGGCAGGGGGCAAATCGTATGCAGTCTGAACGAGATCTCTACATTGAAGTCGTTAGGTGTTAGGTATGGAAATAACTTCTTTTAGAATTGGAAAAGATAAAGTCCCGCCGCATTGAGAAATATTTTAATTAAGATAATGAAAATTACAAGAATTTCATAATATAAGATAAATGATAAACTAAAAATATTAAAATTTAATCAGAACAAGTCTTCTATTATGCCTTTAATTTCTATAATATAATATTTATCTGATTTATTGAGATTTGTTCGATTTATTTTTTGTGGGATACAAATAATTGTAGGTCATCGCGATACCTTACCATGTGTGAGTTTAGGATGAAATTAATAGATAAATTGTAACAGTGCTAGAGAGTAAAGAATAGTAATAAGAAGGCTTAAATGCTTAGTTAGTCTCTATGTTATGAGGTAATTTTCTGTTTACTATCTGATTTTAAAAATGTAGACATTTGGTACCTATGTTTTGAAATTTGTATCAAACAGTCCTATCCATTATGTTGTAAGGAACGGTGTTAAATGTTAAATGATGTGGCAAATAACTTATCTGACGTGGCAAAAGATAATTTTAAACCAAAGGCAAGTATGAAATTATTATTTGGTTACAATAAATTAAAGGGTAACGTGCTTGCCTTAAGACATTGATGTTGAAGGAGCTTAGGTGAAGGAGCTGAGGTGAAAATGGTGAGCTGAGGTGGGGTGACCTTCGTTGTTTGGTTGGTGTGAGGTGGGTGCCCTAAGTTGAGGAAGTATTGTTGTTGTCTTGTGAGGTGAAGGAGGTCGTTGAGGTGGAGTGCCCTTCGTTGTTTCCTTCGTGTGAGGTGGGTGCCCTATCGTTGTTGTCTTCTCTGGTTGTGGTTCATTATTGAGTCACGATGACGCAATGTCAATGAATCACTATTCGTCTTGTTCTCGGGGGAGCTCTCGTGGTGCTTCATCAAGAGGAATGCTTGGCACACAAATATGCTATTGTGGAGAGCTTGCGATATTGAGAGTCGCAAAAACTTATAAGAATGAAGGCAAGCCTTTTTGGGGCTACCCTAATTACAAGGTTTCTTCCCTTCGTTTTGTTTTTATTTTGGGATACATTTATTTGCTTTTTGCTGAGATGATTTTAGTTGGATGTTTTGTACAGCGTAGTCGAAATGAAGAAGTGCGACGATGTAATTTCTTCAAATGGGGCACTGAAGATAATGTTGATGAAAGGGATACTACAATTGGGTGGGAAAGGAGAAAGATTATTAATTTGGAAAAATCACTTTTGGTTTGTCAGAGAAGAGAAAAGGTCTTAATGTGGATGTCATGTTTGATGGGGTTGATTAATATCGTCTTTGTATGTGTTACGTTTTAATTTTGTTGAAGTGTTGTATCAGTCACATTTTGTGATGAAGAAGTTAGTAAAATTGTAGTGTTTCTTTGACATTAAATATGAATGAGAATCTGGTTGTAATGAGATTGTGCTTGTAATGACATTGTATTTAATGAAGAATGAAGTTTGAAATCAGAGAAGCCAAATTAATATGTTTATTAGTTTTCATTAAATATAATAAATTTTGAAATCAGTCATGCAAAATGAATATGGCTACCGCAACTACAAAAAATATAAACAAGTTTCAAATCAGAGAATCCAAATTAATATTGTTATGACAATAGAATGTGACAGAACCCAAAATTTTAATCCAAGGTCGAAAATACTTCACAGAACATCACATATCATCCAAAAGAGTTCAGATATCATCCAAAATGTAAAGGTCCTTAAGTGCAAAATACATGACAGAAAGCAACAGTATTTAAAGTCAAATTACATATCCAAAATAGAAAAAAGATGTACTTAATGTTTGAATCTAGAACAATCTAAAGTGGTGGTGTGATTTCATCAGTCTGGGGTTCTTGAGTAATCTGACTTGCTTGAGTTAGGTGTGGTGAAAGTTCTTGAGAAGGGTGTGGGTGGTCTTGTTATTGACTTCCTTGTGGGCAATTAGTTCTTCTATGCCCAAGTTGCTACATATGGAACATCTCTTAGGGATTCCTTTTTGTCCAAGTTGTGTATCATCTCTTAGGGCAATTAGTTCTTCATACGTGGAGGTTCTGAACCAGTGCGGGATGAACTCTTCTGGATTCATGTTCAAAAACCTCATTGTTGTGATTGCATGACAGCAAGGAATTCCTGATACACTCCACTTTATACAGCTACAGTCTCTTTTGTCTACATCAACGACATACTTTTCACCTATGATGGATGTATGACAGATCTCAAATATTTGAATCCCTGACCAACTGCAAAATAATAAACAATGAATGTTAAATGGAAACAGTATAAACAACAATAGTAAAGGAAATCAGTACTTGTCATACTTAGGTATCCAATATTTTGTCTTTTCTAACTCTTTCTGTAGCCTCTTTTGAATTTTGGGGAAAATGGGACCTTGAAATCTACTTATCTTCTCTCTATTGGATGTCCACCTCTTCATCATGTATATACGAATCTCTTCCATCATTGTTATGATTGGTTTCCCCCTTGCATCTAAGATGACACTGTTAAATACTTATGAAATGTTATTAACAAGTGAGTCACAAAAAGGTCTTCCTGTAAATCTGGATCTAGACCAAAATCTGCAAAAATATTAAGTTAAACATTTAGAAAAGAAGCAAACATTTAGAAAAGAAGCAAACATTTACAAAACATGAAACAACAATTACAGTTTTAAATATTAGCTTGGGTGGAATAGCTATCAAGTGTTTGAATGCATCTTCATTAACGTCCTTAATTTGTCGCATCACTGACTCCCATGCTTGAGGATGTGTTGATGATGATGCCTTCCATAATAATTGTCTAAGAGTTATGCCAATAAATTTCTTCCTAAAATTTGCATATATGTGCCTAACACAAAAACGTTGGTCCACCCCAGGCAAAAGATTTTGTAAAGCTGGCAAAAGTCCCTATCACAGGAAAGAAAGAAAGTATGAGTCTTAAATTTCCATCGTCATCAAAGTAATAAATAAAAGTTACACATGTACTTACTTTCTATTGATCTGATACAAATGTACACCTAGAACAAAAGCCCCCACCTCCAAGATCATCAATTAACCATTCTAAAAACCAAGTTCATGTTTCCTTATTCTCTATTTCAACAACAACATATGCTAACGGAAACATTTGGTCATTGCCATCTCTTCCAACAACAGTTAAAAGTTCACCTCCATATTTCCCTTTTAAGAAACAACCATCCAAATGTATAATAGGCCTACAACTCACAAAGTTGTCCTTACATGCTTTGAAACAGACATACATTCTCTTGAATATGGCCTTATCCTCAGTTGGTTCTACATTAACTTTAATAGTTGAGCCAGGGTTTGATATAAGTAACTCGTGTGCATAATCAAATAGTCTTTCATATTGTTGTTCGAAACAACCATCAATGTTGGCGGATGCCATTGCTTTTTCCCTACTTGTTGTAGACCTAGACACACCAATGTTATACTTTTTACAAAATTTATTGTGCAGGTTTTTCATATTAATATCTGGATTTCCTTTCATGCTCTTCTCTAACCTCCCACTTAACCATTTAGAGGTAACTAAACCAATTTTGAATTCCCTACTGCATGTATGACTGTCTAATATTTTCCTTAACTGCCATGTAGGTTGGGTACTCCTATATCCACAATATGCATACAATGGACATTTCCCTTGTGAACCAATACATTTGACGCATATTCTTCTGTTTTCATTCTTAGAAATCTTCAACTTCCTACCGTTATGTACTCCATAAGTTATAATTGCATCAGTGAAATCTTTTTTTTCAGGGAAGTATGTTCCCAGTTTCCATTTATATTCTTTCATACTAACTGGCTCTGAGAAGATCCCAAAATCTCCATATCGGGTTGTTTCATTATCTGATTCATCATCACTTAAATAAATACTGCCACAACTATCAGATTCCCACTCACTATCAGATAATCTCCTAGCATGTACATGCTTATTTTGAGTAGGACATCCACTTCCTATACCCACTTCAACAAGCAAACTACCTTCGTGTTGCTCTTCTTGGGGTTCTTCATCTTCTTGCACTATAACATCCACCAAATCATCTTCATTCACAGAAGGGTCTTCATCAGAACCTACCCAACTACTAACATCAAACTCATCCTGTACATCCCCTACACCACCACCAACATCATATTGCCCATCCCCTACACCACCACCAACATCATCCTTAGCATCCCCTACACCACCAATGATAT